ACTCCAGTAGTACATGGAACACATTGCTAGCTGGGGAAGCTAGATTTGTCAAATTAAATAAAAGACCTCATTCAAATTAAAATCATGTATCTGGTATTCACATATTCTTTGAACAGAGAGAGAAACAGACTTTCCCAGGATTTTCCTGGGAAAAGACTGTGAGAAGGCTCAGACAAAGAAGAAAAACAATTCTTATCTTCACTTGCTGCATCTGTTGTTTGGCACATGCGGAATGTGGTATGGAGATTGTTTGCCAAAAAGGATTTCTTAATTGGACAGTGGTGATGGTGTTTTGATTGATTGACCAATTAGGTCAAAGCTGTGTTGTGACTGTCTGTAAGGGTCATGGGTCTTTCTTTAGTATAGTATAGTATTAGTGTAGTATGTAGTATAGTACAGTACAGCTTAATAAAGCGTTTCTTCAGCCTACTGAAATCACGGAGTCAATGCACGTTATTTCCTGGCTGGGTATACAATACAAGTTATCTGTGTCATCCTACCCGCAAAGGACCCTTGCAGGTAAGATAACAGAGAACATTTTGGATTTTTCAATAAAAAGGAAAAGGGGAATTGTCACAGCACAGCTGGTCTGTGGCTGGGCAATTAATTCAGCTATAAATAAGAAACTCAGCCCGGTTCCATAAACCGCTCCCTGGGTGAACAATGATAGGCTACATTCAAACCCAAATAGGGGCTTCACCCAGTCATGTTCGACACTCTGTTGCAGATATCTCACTGGTCAAAGAGCTGGACGGTGTTAAAGCCAGACCAATCAAATATTTAAGCCAAGGAAATTCAAATGTCCAATAAAAGGGCAGCCTTATTAAACTCATTGTTGTTTGCTGATGAGTCCTGTTGTGTTGTGTGTTTTTCTCCAATCCATGATATCACATAACAACATCCTACACAACCCAAGCCTGGGCTCCCCCTCGCTCCCTTTAAATCTCAGGTTTCATTGTGTCCCCTCCCTCTACCCCAAACCCCGGGACTCCCTCCAATCCCCTCGCCACAACCTAGGCCTCCCTACAGCCCCTCCAGAGATCCCACCACAGCCCCCAGGCCCCGCTGGTGCCTCCCCTCTTCCATGCACCCCAAACTCCCCTCCCAGCCCCAGCCACCCCTCAGCACCCTCCTCACAGTGCCTGGCCCCGAGCCCAGCCCACATCAGAGCCACTGCCTTGCACTTGCTGGAGCTGGCCAGCTGCTTGGGGCTCATGTTCTCCATGCTGGCGCTCCCGCTGTTGCCGCTGCCGCCGTTCGCAGTGCTACCAGCGCTCTCGGTGCCGCTGTTCCTGCTGTTCCCAGGGCCATTCCCGCTGCTCCTGGAGCCGCCGCTGCCTCATTGGCCCACCTGGCGTGGCAGTGACGTCACCGCACCCCGCCCTGCCGCGATGGCCCCTCCTGGTGGCCAGGAGGGCCCCACACATGAGGGGAGCCAAAAAAGCGGGAAAATTTATCCCAAAAAACACATTCAGACCTGGCCTGGGTCAGTGTGGAGCAAATCTCTGTGTCTGGCACTCCAGCCCTACTAAGAAGTCTCTCTTGGATCTCCTTTAGGTACCAGAGAGGGTTCAAAAGGTATGCCTGTACCATTCTCATCTCCTTAAGTCCTCATGGATTTTGTGTGGGAAGAGACCCTAAAGCCCATCCAGTGCCACCCCCTGCCATGGACAGGGACACTTCTGCTATGCCAGGGTGCTCCAAGTCCTGCCCAGCCTGGCCTTGGGCACCCCAGCCGTGTCCCCATCCTTTGCCAGCCCCATCCTTCCAGTGTGTGCAGAAGACAGACCCCACTGGACAGTTCCTGTTTTGCTTCACAGTCACATCCCAAGACCATCAGCTCTCCTCAGGAGCCAGGCAGGGTGTCACATACTGGAAAAGATTGATCAAATTCCTTGATTTTCCATCTTTTGCCACCAAAGTTCTTTGCAATTTTGACTTCTTAAGGATATCTACTCGCTATTTCTCCTCGGTATATTCTACTTGATATTTCCCCTGTGTGCCAAGCAGAGGAAAGGAACCACAGTTTAGCCCCTTACATTTAAATGTTCTGGGGTGTTACACAGTATCACCCCACCCTTAGTCCCAAATGGTGCAGCCTGGGAGAGCCAGTGCCACCCCCTGTCCCCTGCCTGTCTGCAGCACACAGAGCTCAAGTGAGCCCCAGCTGTGGCTTCCCTAAACACAAAGGAGACAGAGAGCAGTCCAAATCAACTCCTTTATTAGCAGAGTGTGAAAAACGCCAATACCTTGTTTTAAAAGTTTAACAGTAATAAAATAGTTATAAAAATAGCAACAAAAAATTAGAGCAATAAGAATTTGGACAATCAGAGTAGTACAATAAAAGACTATAAAAGGAAAGAATTAGAGATGTCTGGGTGCATTTTACTCTTTCTGCAAAAGCACACCTCACTAACAAAGGATTAATCCTTAAAAGAAATAGCCTATTATATATTCATATATCTCATACGTGATTCAAAAATTCCTTTCAGACAAAGGGTCTTTTCTGGTTATTGTCAACTCTCCCATTCATCTTGTAAATCAATCATCTTGATCCCTTAAATTCTGGTTCTTCCTGGTAAGGAGGCAAAAATTCTTCTCTTGGGATTTTTGGTGTCTTGTTGCTGTTATCTCACTGCAAAGAATTTCTTGATTCTCTTATCCATTCCTTGAGCTACTTAGAAAAGTACCTTACATCACATCATTTCTATTTTATATTATGCTATAGCCTAAAAACTACTACTTAAAAGAGATTAATACAACATAACTTTCCAACATAGCAGATATAGTATTCATTTTAATATTTGCAAAGAGCCAAGCGTATAATATGGATTTTTCAGACAGAGCCTGCAGGGGATGAGGCTGAAGCAGCCCTTCAGCAGCTCTCCAGGAGGGCTTGGCCCTCCCATTGCCAGCGGGGTTGCAGCACCTGCACAGCAAAAGCCCCCACAGCTCCCTGGGGCAGAGCCAGCTGGTGCCACCTTCTCCAGAGCACGGCTCTGGTGCCACCAGCCTGCCTGGGCAGCACCAGCACTGCCCCGAGGGCTGCTGCAGAAGGTGCTGGCAGACAGGATTCTCCACATGGGGCACTCCAAAGGCTTTTGCTCAGCAGAGGGGCCAAGGGCAGGAGCAGCTCCTGCTGGGGCTGAGGGCTGGAGGGAAGGGCAGCAGCCCCAGGCACCTGAGCAGGAGCGGCTGTCCTGGAGAGAGACACAGCACCCCTGAGACAGGGAGTGAAAGCACTGCCTGAGCCTGGGGCAGTCGCGTCACTGCTTTCCTGAGCCTGCAGGCACAACAGCTCCTGCTGGGAGAACAGCCTCAGTTGATCCAGGAGGCTTCAATGAGGGAGGGAAGGATGACACCCAAAAGCCAAGCAGCCCAGCTGGCAGCCACCGTGGAGCTGGCCTCAGGCCCTGCAGCCATTTCTCCGAGCAGGATACCTCCTTGCTGCAGGAAAACTGCTTTTGAGGTGTCAGATTTTAGCTCGTTTCTGACCCAGAGATGGGGCAATTGAGAGGCGCTTTAAAAACTTTTTATTCAATTTTTCAGTCTCCTATGAAGTGTGAGACAATACAGATGTTCCAATTCACACCATCACAATTAGAAGCTGACTATTTCTTTATTACAAAACATTATAAGCATTTCTTGACTTATATGTTTTTTGCTACACTATGCTGTAGATGCCTTAAATCAAATAATTTAAAACTGCCCCTGGTGAGTGCTCTTACAATGGATTTTTTATGGTTGCATTTCTCTAAAGTATCTAATCTTATTTGCAGGACCATTTTTTGAAACTTTTTTCTAGCTCTATTTCTTTCTCAACCATATTTGTCTTATTCTATGGCATTTCTAAGTTAGCATTTCTTACCTCAAGTTTGCATGCAGATGCTTACTGTGTGGGCCTTCTGTCAGGCCTTGAGAACTCTCCACAAATCTATTTCTCACATTTGCCATCTCTTTTGGGTAGAAAAAACTTTTTTGATGGCCTTGTTCATCATTTTTCATGCACAGTGAAGTACACAAGGCACTATCACTAACATTGCTACGATAACAGTCAATACCTATAAACCTATTTGGCAAAGTTCTTTTGTCTAAGTTGTAAAACTTATCTTTCAAACAAGTCATCTAACTATGATCTATCATTTGTTTTAATTTGATATGTAAAATCTCTCAGTTTTTGGAGTTGTTTGTGGATGGACATTGAATGGTCGGACAAGTTCATACGAAGTCCTTCAAAATTCTCACAACTATCTTTATGGGCCAGTAAAGGAAAATCAATGGCGGCTCTGTTCTGTAAGGTTGAATTTTGGCAGCAATAACTTATGTCATCATGTTACTAATTTCAATGGAAGTAGTATTGACTTTGCTCAGCTAACACCCCAATTGGTTTCATTTTTTTAATGCCTCACTTGAGGGAAGTTGAGGTAGAAATATAGCTGATGTAACTTGTTTGGCAGGGCTCTAGGGTTTGAAATTGATATTACAGTTTTCTTCATAATGATGGGCAAATCTTTTTTCTCTATGTTTTCTCTTGATGGCTTTTTTTAACATTAGATGCTGTCACAGTGAGCTGTCCAATGCCACATGGAGCACTTTTAATTTTTGAGGGAATGCCTTCCAGGCTCTATCTCTACAAATGAGCTAATATCTTTTTGACAATTGCCGTGGCGACTCATCTAGGTCAGCAATTTCACCCTAAGGGGCAATGGGGGAGTACCATTGCACCACAAGCTTGAGTTTCTGTACACAGGATGATGGGGAGTAACATTTAATTGTGGATTTCCCTGGTACTGAAACTCAACACAAAATTCCATTGCTAATGAGCAAAGAATTTCTAATTCTTGAGGTCCACAAGGTGCTTTAAGAAGATCAGACGCAAGAGGATTCTGGCTTTCTCATGAAGTGAGGTGTTGCTGAGAGACAGCCACAGAAACTTGCCTTATTTCACGAAATCTGGGAAAAGTTAGATGCCATTATGTGAACATGGTTTGAGAATGTCATCATTGTAACTGCATTTTGTGGACAGTCTGGCACAAAGTTCTTCTAAACTGCAAAGCTGCTCTAGATCTTCTTCCCATGGATGTGGCGTAATGCTTGTCCAGCTCAGACAGAGCTTCTTCCTTGGTAATTCTCTGCCACGCCTCAGGGATTTCTCCTCTACCCTGAAATTTCTGATTGTACAAACCTTCAAGCTGTGTCCTGAAATGAGACACAAACCATTTCCAGTATGCCTGCATGGATGAGTCAGGAAGAATGTTCCAATTGGAATAAGGAGGTCCAGCATCACGGTATGTTTTGTAAGGGAACCTTTCATTGCCATGAAGTCTGAATAACATATCACTTGCAACAAGGCTGGAACAAATATCAATGATCAGCTGGCCTGTCCCAATCCACCCCCATCCCTTCAAAGCTTGTGGGCGATGGAAGACCACGTGATGGTCTCCATCATGATTCCACATGGTGTTTGTGCAGACAGCCCCACAAAAGGGACACTGCTCCCAGCACCCCGAAAAATGCTCGGCCAGGATGGTGTGAGGCTGCCTTGAAAATGAGCTCAGGTCTGCACCAGCAAATTCTTTCATGAGCCTTTCCTTCAGGTCATTCAGAGCTTCTGCCATGGCACTGCTCAGGAACTCAATGTCTGTGACCTCCTGGTGCTCGATGCCCTTCAGGTCACTTCTGGGCAAGTTGATCACCTCGGACAGTTCCCTACAAAATTTATCCAGCCAGAGAGAGACTCTGTCTTCCCTGTCTTCTCTGTCTTTGACAGCTCGGTTTGATGAAGAAACAGCTGAAAGGATGTTTCGATGGAGAAGATTGAGGGAGTCATCTAAAAACACCCTCAGCCTCCTACTCCCATCTAAACAGTAATTCCTAACTCGTGTCTCAATGTAACTCTCACAAAACTGTTTTGGAGACATAAGGTACTGCTTGAAATACTCAAAATTTTCCTGTTCTGCCAGGTATCTCAGGATGCAAACTTCCAGATTGGCTCTGTTGCCCCTGAAATCTGTGAGTTTGTCCCGCATGTCCTCAGCAATGTCTTTAGCTGTCCTCTCATAGACTGCCTGGCGAAGAGCTGGTTGAATCTTGTCACAAAGGAAAGCAGCAAAAGTTGTGACAGAAGTGGCTCCTTGGCAGGAAATCTGGAAACATTGGAAGAAATCTTCTCTCTTGCTGCTCAAGTACACAACTGGATCATTTGCCTTTTGGAATGCTTTGTGCATGGCTTTAAACCTTTCTGCTGCCATTCTGCACAGATAGAGAGACAAATCTATGTTGTAATCTTTGTTAAGAATATCTTTTGGATTGCTGGGGAGAGAGTTGACACCTTTCTGTACTTCATTGAGTATTTCATGAATAAAATTTCGACTGTAATTCCGTTTCTCCTCTTCCTTCTTAGTAATGTTTGCCCTCACACAGGCTATGATGTCGTCTGTGATGTGCTGAAATTTCATCACATCAGCATTGGAAAGGCTCCTGAAATCTTGGATAAGGTTGAAATACTTTTTTTTCATGATGTGTTTCTCTGGATCAAAAGAAAATCCTCTGCCTTTGGGAAATGACAGGATCCGTGAATGGATACCTGGCTCCTTAAAGTGCTCAAGAAGGACATCTTCAATTTCTGCATCAATATCCACCTGTTCTGGAGGAGGAGCAACACGGGAGACTTCCGCAATCCACTTGTTCCAGACAGAGGTAAAGTTGTCCTTCAATTCTCTCTCACTGAGGCTCTTCCCTTTCAGACTCACAGCCAGATCTCGACTCCTTCTCAGGAGCTCATCTTCATATTCCAACTTCCTTGCATCCAGTTTCCTCTGCTCCTTCTGTAGCTCAGTAAGATTCTCACATTTCTTTTTTGTTTCACGAAGAAGAGTCTCTTTTAGTTCTTTCAGTTTCAGCTCTGTGCTTGATTTCCACTGGACCAGTGTCTCACGGTCTTTGTCTTCCTTGAAATACTTTTCCACTTCTTCCTCAATGGCATCACTTGTCTCTTGCACCAGCCCTTCAAGGTATTTTATGGTGACATTCTGCAAGTCCCCATTGCGAATTTTGTTGTCCAGTCTCATCTGTACATCTAAGATGTGACTCCTCAGCCTCCAGGTCCAGTGACTAAAGGCAGTTTCCAGTTTCCTGTACACAGCAATCTCCAGGGAATTCTTGAAGCTGAACACAAAGTTTTCATTCAGCAAAGCATTCCAGAGGTCACCAATACGATCTTTCAGGCTTGAGAGCCTCAAAATGCTGCGCTGCGACTGCTTCTTGGCAGCCTGGAGCATTTTTCTCTTGAGTTGCTGGATGTGCTGACTGTAGGTGGGGTTGGGTGGTGCCATTGGGGGGTTTCCTTCCCACAGGTGAGCAAAGTAGTGAATGTGGGTGTTCACATCAAAGCCAATGACATCGCTGAAGGAGGAGACGTCACAGAATTCCTGCCGAGCAGCGACCACAGTCATTTCATCCAGCTTTTCCTGCAAGCGCCTTCGTCCTTCCATGTTCTGCTCCTTGGCAGTTGCTTCTCCCACATTTTGGTGGACAAAGAGGCAGCTTGGGGAAAGATTGACTTTCTTCATCCTCAGGAAAGCCTGCACAGCGATCTGGAGAACATCCTGCATTTCTGATGGATTTTCTCCAAAGATATTGATCACAGTCAAGTTGCCAACACCAATGACAAAGGTGGCCAGCTCGTTGTCATGGTTCAGGGACTGTTTATTGGCCATCTCGATGGCACGGAGTCCCTCTGTGTCAACCACCAGCACAAAATCAAAGCCCAAGTCTTGCTGCAGCTCCTCGCCCACTGGGATGAGCTGCATGAAGGCTCCGCGGGTGCATCTCCCTGACGTTGAACTGCAGACCAAACATGGCATTCAGCAGGGTGGACTTGCCTGTACTCTGGATGCCGAGCACGGAGAGCACAAACACTCGTTTGTCCCCCAGCCTCCCAATTAAGCTGTCAAAGATTGCTCCCACCCAGCGCAAGGGCAGGTAAGAAGCGTCCCCATCCATCAGCTCCATGGGATACCCTGAAACCATCAGATCTGCTGCAATTTCTGGCAGTTTGACAAAATTGTCATTTGTGGAGTTCATAAATGGCAGAGCTTCATAAATCTGCCCGACCTCCCTCAGAAGGTGCTCCAGGCCGATGGATGAATCGTTGATTTCATCAGAGACAGCATCCAAGCGACTCAGCAACTCATCATTGCCACTGGGTTTTTCCTTGCTTTTCTTTCCTGTCTGGATTTGAGACCATAACTTGTGATAGTCTCCCCTCAGTTCTTCAAGGCGACCACAAGACAGCTCGTCCATAAAGACCTTCATCCAGTGCAGGAAGTATTTCTTGGTATCTGCTGGCTGGGCCTGGAGAAAGCGAAGGAATGATTTCATCAGTGGGTTAAGAGGGAAAGCTCGCTCAAGTTGCATTCTTCTTATTGCTTTCTTCTCATATTCAATTTGGCTGCGATGATGCTCAATGCTCTTATTCCCCTTCTCCTGCAAGCGAGTGAGTTCTTTGTCCTTTTGGCACCACTGGTGCCACAGTTTTCCTTGCAGCGGCAGCAGCCGGGATTTGATCTCAGATGGCTTCTCTTTCTTCAGAAGCTCCACCAGTTCCTTTGCCTTTGCTTTGGCTGTCACACACGCAGCTCGATGTGCATCCACTATGAATCCGTGCTGGCGAGCTTTGTCCACGCAGGCCTCCAGACTGCAACGTGTATTAGAACCCTCCAGGAGATTCCCAATTGTCTTGGTCAGCTGGTCCACCAGTTCTGCTTCATTTCTGTTCTTGATCCCTATTTTTATTTTTTTGCTGGCTTGTCCAGCTGGAACCTTTTCTTTTTCTGTGAGAAGACAAACCAAAGGCCTTTGTGACTGCCACAGCTCCTGCAGAAGCTTTTTCCCCCTGTTGTCCATGTGCTCCCAGTCAGACACAAGAGCCACATTGACAGCAGATATCTCCTGCAGGAACTGCAGCTGTGCTCCGTGATCCCTGGCATCTCCATGCAGGTTACAGAAAGCCACGCAGCGCTCAAAGGTGTCATCAGGGCTTCCACCAGGGCAGTACCAGGCGATCTCCACCAGCCCTTCCATCAGCAAACGCTCTCTGGTGCTGCCTCTGCAGTGGCGGTGGAAGAAAGTGTCGTATTTGCGTTTGCTGAGCAGAGCATTGAGGAGCTGGGACTTGGAAAAGGAGGCTGAGCTGCCAATGCGGATGAAGGACACAATGGGTGTCTGTGCCTGAAAGATGAGTTTGTTGCTGTAACTCTTTGTTTGGGCTGGCTTTCCTGACTTGTCCACCTCTTTCCAGCTCCTTTGGATTTGGCTGAGGGAGTAGAGCGGGAACTCAATGCGTGAAGAGTCCGGGTTGGGCACCAGCAGAGGCAGCGCCAGTTGGCAGAATGCCAGCTTGGTTGCCAGGGACTGTCTCAGGAAGTCATCAGCACAATGGAAAATGGCCATCTGCAGGTCCATGGGGTGCACATGGCTGTCCATGCTTTCAGGTTCAAGGGAGGCTTCCTCAGAATCATCAAGAAAGTTTTCAAAGGAGTCTGATTGTTGGAGTTCTGGCTCTCTTCTTTGTGGCACAGGTGCAAGGCCTGGGTTGCTGTCATCCCAGCAAGTCAGGTACCTCACCCGGTAATCCACGGTTAACAGCTTTTGCAAGAAGTAAAATGGCAGTTCCTTGTCCTCTCTGGGCTGGCCGTCCTGCAGAGATGTCTTGCAGATGGTGTGGAAATCTCCCATCCCCATTTTCCTTGGATAGTCACCTTCCAGTCCAAGGCGCTTGAGCAGCTGGAGGAACTCCTGGTTTGCAGTGGCTTCATTTTCTTTGGACTCACTGCTCTCTGACTCGGACTGGGACTGACTGGGGGGCTCAGGTGTTGGAAGAGTGTCTTCCAGATCTCTGAGTGTGTTCTGCATCCTCTGTTCATCCCATTTGTCATCCAAGCATGCACTGATCAAGAAGTCCAGGTCCCATTTCAGCCTCTCCCAGTCTTTGCCTCCAGTGTGCTTTTGGAGGAGATTCTCAGCCCATTCTTGGATAGCCTGGATTAAGGAATTAGTGGTGAGGCTACTGGTCTGGGTGGCTTCTTTCTTTGCTTCATGAACAGAAGCTGAGCATTTTGGTGTGTCTGTGACAGTATGCACGTGCTCCTTCATTTGCTCTAGTGTATTGATGAGCTCTTGAAGGTCAGCAACTTTGGGACATCGGGGAAGTTGGTGCTCAGTCTGGGAGAAGGATTGTACACTGATGGAGGACACTTCATCTGGTATTTTAAGAAGTTTCTGAAGTGCCCTTTTCTCCCACGGGTGCCGTGCCTCACACTCCAGCTTGTGGTAGTCCTCATATTCCAGATGTTGCAGGGCTTCTCTGCACTTGATTCCCAGGATCTGTGTCACTTTGGGCAGCCAGTACCCAGCATCCAGTCCTTCCTTCTCAAATGCCTCTGCCAGGAGCTGGGCCTTTGCATCCTCCTCCTGTGTGTCCTCCAGCGAAGCCATGGCTGTGGAGGAAGAACAGAGACTTTCCCTAAGGTGTTGTCAGAGGCTCCTGGCAGAGGCTCTGCAGGAGCTGCAGCCCTGGGGATTGCTCCCACCCGGCTGCTAGAGCCAACCCTGGGATGTCACAAAAGCCAGAGTCTCCTTCCTAGCACTCTGAATGTGCCTGTTGCTTTCCTGTTTGCAGGATCAACCCTGAAGCTGAGTCTGTATCCCAGAGACAGCACAGAAAGACAGAGACAGAGATACTGACATGGAGACACAAACACAGAGATACACACAGACTCCCTCAGCCGCACAACCTGCCCTGGACGAGGTGCTGCCTTCACCATCACCCACATCCTCCCAGCACAACTCCTCCATCCACAAGTGCAGACAGCCGGGGCCATTCCTGGCTCCCTGGAGCACTGGCACAGCCCCTCTGCCCATCCAACAGCCCTGCCTGCATCCTGCACCCTCTGCCCAGCCCACGGCTGCCCTGCTCACTGCCTGGCCCAGCCTGCTGCTCCCAGCACCCGGAGGCAGTGCTCACACACTCCCCCCATGGCACCCCACACTCCCCAGACACACTCCCCCCATGCCCCCCATGGGCTCTGAGCTGTGCTCCTGCTCCAGCTGCCAGCGCAGCCCCTCCCTCACCCCTCTCTGGCCTCTTCCCAGGAGCTGCTTCCTGGCACCCTCAGGGGCCCACCCCAGTGCAGGGGAAAATCCACCTTGTCCCTGCCCACAGCTGTGCCTGGGACATCCTGGTGGCCCTTCAGGAGAGACTGGAAATGCTGGGAGCCAACTCAGAGAGGTGCCCTCTGTGATCTGCTGCTCGTTAGCACAGGGAGTCTCAGGCAGGTGCCCATTGGTGGCAGTCTTGGCTTCAGCCACCACGGAGCCACCAAGTTCAAAATCTCTGGTGACAGGAGGAAAAGTGCCTTCAAACCTTCAACTGGGCACCTGCTTTTAAGCCTTTGGGGTTTTGACTCTTTCACACAACTCTGAGCATTGTCCCAGTCTCAGTTCACTTGGATACTGGAGAGATTTATTCCTTGCAAAAAATCCATCTTGGCATTCAGCTTCTGTCCCACCAACACCCCAACACTGTCACCAGCACAGGAATTGATCCAAGGGAATTCGACTCAGGTCCAATAGATCTGAGGGCTCCTGTACCCTTCCAGAGCCTTCAGGGGAGGCTTTCCCTCAGGAATCCCTGCAGATTTGGGCAATGTGTGCAAGGGCAGTGGGCTCTGATTTCCCTCACCCACCTCACAGCAGATGCTCCCGTTGCTCCCAGCCTTGGCTTCCCAGCAGACACCGGCAGCCGAGGGCCCCAGCTCAGGGGACACAGCGCAGCAGCAAGGGCAGGCCTGGGGCAGAAAGCAGGGTGTGGAGAAGAAGATGAGAACTCCTAGAGAACTCAGGAGAAAGAACACCAGGAATAAAAGGCCCAAAACTTAAAGGAGAAGAGCAGACAGTCAGCACAAGGCAACCCATGAGCATGGTAGATTCATTCCAGGGAGAACTGCAGGCCAACCCTTCTCCTCCACTGATAACTGCCCAGGCAGCAAAGAGTCCTCAGGGCTCTTCTGGGGATGTGACCAGAGCAGGGTTTCACCTGGGACCTACATCCATGTTCCCCCACCAGAAGCAACCTGGACATGCTGGAGAGGTAGGACAGAGCAAATCCTCTGAAGGTCACCAAGGCCAAGTGCAGGTGCTGCCCCTGGGTCTGGGCAATTCCAGGCCCAGACACAAGCTGGGAAGAAAATGGATGGAGAGCAGCCCTGAGGAGAAGGACTTGGGGGTGCTGATGGGTGAGAGGCTGTGCAGGGAACATCTGTGCTCTGGGGGCAGCAGACAAGGTGAGGAGGGGGCAGAGCCAGGGGAACAGCACTGCCAGTGGGGCAGCAGGGCCCTGTCCCACCACTGCCCACAGCACGCAGCTGCTGCTGGGGGGAAGCTCAGGGCCCCGGAGAGGGGGGAGAAGCAGCGCTGGGCTTGGATCCCAGCAGGCCCTGAGCCCCCCCAGCAGCTCGTGTGCTCCCACCAGCAGGATGGGGACAGGAGGGGACAGCAGAAACAGGAAAAGCTGCTGGCTTGAGATAAGGGCATTTCAGCAGCAGAGCAAAGCTGTGTGAGGTGGCAGAGCACAGGAGGGACTTTGGGCACCAATTGTTTTCTTTGCTCATGTGAAAAGTGCATATTATACGGCTCTACGCAGATATTTACTAGATGTATTGTGTTGTATTCATTAGTAGTGCTGCATTAACATTCTAATAGTATAGTAAATGTAGTTTTGTAGTTAAAATGTAACTTTTGTAGTTTAAATAGAAATTATCTATGTGGGATATTTTCTTAAGAAAGGGATGAGGTACTGACACCCGATAGGAGCCACAGGACACCTAAATATTTCAAAGAAAATTAATTTACTCTGCAATTATCAGAAGAAACTAACTGCTTCCCACCTTGCTCAGCCCTGAAGATGCTGTCAGAATTAAGAGGAAGAAGTTGCCACGGACCAGACAGAATCCTTTGTTTGATTGGAATTTATGTATCATGTATGAGATGCATGAATATGCAACAGGCTATTGTTTTTAAGGGTTAATCCTGTGTTAACATGTGTCCTTTTTGGGCTTATTTTGCCCAGAAAAAGGCATTCAAATTGTCTGTAACTCTTTGTTTTTATTATCTCGTATTGTCCTAATCCCAATTGTTATTGTTATTACTGTGATTTTATTACTATTTTAAAAACCATTTTATTACTATTAAACTTTTTTAAATTCTAAAAACAAGCGATTTGTATTTTTCACAGGCTCATGTCCAGCTGCTCCCTGGGCAGCAGAACCTCAGTGCAGGACGGCTGCTCAGGATGGGAACTGCTGGCTCAGGGTCTCTGCTGGAGGTTGTCCACTTGAGCCACTTGTCCCACCCCTGTCCGATCCCAAATTCTCTCCCAATCGAGCACTGCCAGTGCTGGTTCAGTCTCAGGAGCCAGAGGCTGCCCCGAACAACATTAACTCCAGCCCAGCCACACCCTGAACCTGCCCCCAGGCACCCTTGCACTCCCTGCACGGCTTCCCAGTGCTGCAGGAATAGGGGAAAAGCCCCATGCGACTGTGTCAGTGCCCGCAGAGAGGCACTGAGCACATTCAGGGCATAACTCGGAACCGAGTTCCTCCTTGGAAGCAAAGGAGGGAAGCAGCAAGGCTGGCAGCAGGACCTGCCATGGGAATGCCTGCACCCCGTTTCACAGGAACAGCCCCCCGAGAGTGTTTTCCGCAGCCCTGGCCTAGGGAAAGGGGCTCTGGGAACACTGCTGCCTTTGTGGGGCTGTCCCAGAGACAGGAGCGCTCGGGTGGTGATGCTTAGACTGTAAGAAAGGAGAATCCCACCTTCCCTGCATGGGCAGGAAAAGGAATGATGCCCCCGGCTCCTGCCTTCAGGGGAGCGCAGCCATCCGGCCCCACGGCGGGGCTGGGGGTGCCCGGGCCGGGCAGGGTCGGCCCCGCCTGCGGGGAGCGTTTCCCGGCCGAGCACGGGCTGGCGGCAGGGAAGGGGCTCCGCTCGCCATCTGTGCCCGGCCAGCCCCGCTGCCGGCTCCCGGGACAGCCTGTGCGCCTCTGCAGCCTTCCCTGTGCCCCTCCATCCCCGCATCCCTCCTCCTTCCCCCGCCGCTCCGCTCCCACCGCTCTGAGCCCGGGGCCCTCCCAGCTCAGCCCCCGCAGCGCACACGGCTCCCCCGAGCTGCCCAAAGCGGTGCCAGCAAAGGCGGCTTCCTGCAGCCCACGCTCGGAGCGCACAGCGCCCGCCCGCTGCCCTCAGCCCCCTCTGCTCCTGCCCTGCCATCTCCCCAGCCCTGGCAAAGCACAGGGAACAGGAGGCAGGAGAGCAACAAGATCCCGCTCCCGGCTGCTCCCGGCTCCCAGTCCCGCAGCTCATGGCCATGCCCATGCCCATGCCCACGCCCACCCCCATCCCCATGCCCATGCCCATCCTCGTCCCCACCCCCATCCCCATCACCTTCTCCCTCCGGGCCCTGCAGCTCCCGTGTTCGGAGAAGTCCAGCACAGCCCAAACAGCTCTGGCTCTTTTGGGGAGCTGCTTCCCCTTTTATGGGGGTAGTGGGGGAGCAGCTACTGCTTTCCTGTAAATCATGTGTTTTCCTGCAACAGTGTGAAACTGAAACTGCTGCTGCCTGGTTTGGGGTGAAAATGTTTCTTGTGAGAGGTGCACTTGAGGATGTTGGAAGGTCTCTTCTGGCCTTAATGATTCTATGATTCCATGGAAGGCAGCAGGAGCTGGGCACAGCCTGGGACTCCTGGCTGGAAACCGCCCACCCTGCTCCCTTTAGCCTGGATCATGGAATCTCAGAACTGGACATCGTGTGCCAAGGTCTGTCCACCCTTACAGGGAGGAATTCCTAATTCCCAGTATCCCATCCTGGAAACCCTTTAGTCCCTGGAAGGGGCTCTGAGCTCTTGTTGGAGCCTTAATCTCTACAGGTGAACACCCCAAGATCTGAAGTGAGGAGGGATGGGTGGAGATGCTTGTTTGTGCCATCACATCAGCTCTATGCTCTGAACAACCCAGGGAGACCAGAGGCAACCTCCAAAGAGATCAGCCCCTGAGATCAAGCAGGAATTCTTCCCTCAAAGAGTTGTAAGGGGCTGGGA